CCAGTGGGGTCATTAGAGGTTTAACACTTGACTGAAAGGGGTTATAGTGAAAAACTGATGAAAAGGCTAGTAGTTCACTGCTCATTTTGTTGTTGCATTAGAGAAATCATAGGTAGCAACTGAGTAAATTATAAGCCTTCATTTAGCAGAAACGTACCTCTAAGACTATTATTATGATACTTCATGGTGGCTTACAAAATTTGGTTAAGTGAAATATTTGAGTGCATTCAGTATTAAACCCGGTCAAGAATTTAAAAACGGCACTTTCCAGAGGCAGCATGATTCATTTCCACTGCTAGATTCAGTCCCTGCAGGGGAGTCCTGTTACTGATACTTAAGTGCCTAAGGCACAAATGGCTTTGAAAACATGAGAACATGCTAAGCTGGCTCTAACAATAAGGTATAATTGGCCCTCAAGTGCAGAAGCAATATTTGTCATGACCTGAGGTTATCTAAGTCTTTCTTTTAATGCCTTGCCCTTTTAATTGAGATATATTTGACCAAATGATAATATGAAATTCTCTATTGGTTTATTTGCATTATCTTCAAAAGACAGATGATGCTCACTCCAGCATATAAATGTCAGTACGTATCTAAGCAGTTGACGTAGCATGCATGTAGGAAAATTTTAGCAATGCCTGTAAGGCCTAACTGGTTGCTCTAAAGGTTTATTGGTGCTTGACGGTGTTCCTCCAAAGTCTGAAACAGTCTTGCATGGATTTGGGGGGAAAAAACCAGAGCAGATTACTGTAAAATTATTCGCTCTGAGTACTGAGTTTTTGCAATAACTGATGTTGTGGAAATAATCCATTAATTGCTACATTAACTAGAGGAGTTGTTAATGAGCCATTAACCTCTGTCACAATACTTTCCATTATATTTGTACTTGTATGCTAATTTTAGAAAGTGTATATTTTTATATTGTGGAGGGGAACTGCAGGAAAAAATATTTCTGGCAGCTATCAGTTGTTGGGTCGCTAACTGCCCATCCTCACACTTGTACATCACTCTAACAACCAGCACTGTTGCAAGATCTGGTTTTGATGAGATGCATGTTTAGGAGTGAAGTCAAGTATTCCCTACAAACGCTGGAGCCCCTTTGAAAATGGTAGCAAAAGCTGGTTTGAAACAAGCGGGTGGTTTCAGGTCTGCGTTAAGCTGGTCTGGAAAGAAAATGAGGTTGGTATTTGTTGTCTCTGCTGCCCTGTTTATGCAGGCTGTGCTTTGCCAGATGGATGAGTGCAACTCCCCCAAGGCTTTCTCTGTGACCTTTGATAGCAGAAGTGAAATTAATGAAACTACAGTGATTTGCACTAAAACTTTGCTATGTGTAGCTTGTCTTATTTTTCAGAAATCAAACTTATCAAGCAAGGCAGTACACATCTTTCACATTGCTTTTTCTTTCTACAGTATGTATTAACGTATGATTAAATGCTTTTCACAGAAAGCTTTCTTACCTGGGCTTTTCCCCTGGGTGGAGATGGGAGAGGGGAAAAAAGTATACAACAGATGCTGGTCACAGTATTTTTGCGTTGCTGGATGATGCTGAGGTGCTTCAGTTTCAAGTACAGTACTGGGCCCATAAAACGCAGTATAATGTGCAGGTGTCAGAATGGGTATACATTGGTTTGGTGAATGTTACAGGTGGTTGTGCAATGGGAAAGCTTGTGCTAAGAATGCGTTCAGGATGTTTTGGAAGGCAAAGATTTGTCACTTGCTTCAATGGGATGTTTATACCCTAAAGCCTGTGTTAAAAGGAAAGAAGCAACAATAGTTAGCTTATCTATGTGAAATAATGATAGCCGCTTCAAAGCTAAGGTAGGTCGTAAAAATATGCTCTATAGGATGTTCCTGCCAATTTCTTCATAACCCACAGTAAATTGGATCAGCGCTAGGGTGTGTGTAAGTGTCTTCAGGTTGCAACTAATGCAGAGTAAGTGTTCTGACTAAAAACCTCGGAGCATTATTTCTTAGTCTTTGTGCCTATTCACTCCACTTTCCAACTTGCCCGCATAGACCAGTTCTTGTGTTTGTGCGATTCCCTTTCCTTCCTTCCCCTGAGTCCATAATTCTGTACTTTCGGGAATCTGCCTACACAACTTAATGAAAACTGTCTCTCTGGAAGGACTGGTAAGAGGTTCGGGCTTAGGTTAACGTTTAGCTGTTAATTTTCATTGTGTGAACGAGACCTATTGTGTTCCTGTGTTCTGGAAAGCTGCTTCCATGTGAACTAGTCCTGCCTAGGCAGCTCTCGCTTTGTCCTTCCTTTTAAAGCTTCATTTCATCTCTTTCAGCATGGTGGTCCAGCACTGAGTATCGATTGTAATGAAAGCCAAATACTATCACTTAAAAGCTTTGTTTTGATTAGAAGGGAGGCTGAGTGATTTCACAGTGCTGTCTGGTGTGCTGGAGCTCAGCACCTCCTGTGGTACCTGAATTTGTCAGCTGCACTCTCAGTGGAAACAAAGTCTTCTGGCAACATCTGTAAAGCCGTGTGCGCATTTCAAAGAGAACTGCTAAAAACTAGATCCAAAGTGTCATTTCCATCTCTGAATAAACAGAGTGTGTGCCATCTGAGAGTCTCATAACCAGCTGGGTTCAGAAATAAAACCAGCTGGGAGTGCTGAGAGCTGTGTGCTGTGTCAGGACAAGGTCTGGCCGGGGGTTTGGGGACAGGGAGTAGCTTACAAAAACACCTTGATAGGTATCTCCCTGTGTTTTTACAGTTTCCAGGCTTTCTTGGCATCAACTTAGTCCTGGCTTCATCTTCCTGAGGCTTCTTATATAGAAACATAGATTAAGTGCTACTCTGACATGGGTCAGCTATGTCACAAGAATTGTTTGCCTTTTGTATGGACAGCTCTTCCCTTCTGAATTCCCTTAATATGCACAGGTAAAGCACTGAGAGAGAGAGAGATATCAGTTCTTGGTTCTTGCCTAGGAACAGCAGTAGGGTCACTGCTAGCAATAGCATGGTGCTGCTGCTTTTGGACAGTTGAAATTCCTGGAAAGTTTTATTTTTAACTCCTCCTAGTTGTAAAAACCTAGTCAGCACACTGTGTCTGCTAAAGGCATCGTTGGCGTGGGGGAAGCAGAACTGCCTGATAGGAGCTAACTGACCAAAGCATTTGAATACCACAAGGCAGGGGCTAGGCTTTCTGTGGAGTGAGGAAGTGGGATGGGGTGCTGGTATGGAGCTGGCTTCAAACAACACCCAAGTGGGTTTAAGCCTAGTCCTGGCTTTTACGCCCTCCCCTTGTAGCTCACAGGGCATCACTCAAATTCTGCCTTAATTTCCATGAAAGTCCAAATACCTCTGTATTGATGTCCCCTACTTTGCAATATTTAAAAATGGGTATAATATAATGTGAAAAATGCCCAGGCAAAAGCTACTGATTCCCATTTAATACCTGTAGGTCTTCCAGGTAGTAATGCTGGAAGACATTATTTCCAGCTACAAGGTTTTGCGGGCTGCTAAAAGCTTTAACATGTGCTAGACCTTTCATACCCACATCTGCAAACAGCAGTTGAATCGAAAATGTAGGATTGACCATTTGAAATACATACCTTGTGCCTCTGCTGTGAGAAATACAGCACAGTGGCAAGTGACTCAAAGCGCCTCTCTCCAAAGCACACTGAGGAAATTAAGGGAGAAGTAGTGAATTCCAACAGAAAAAAATCGTGTGCAGGCTGCATCTCACCTGATGGCTATTAACATTTTCTGTATCTGTAGTAATGACCTTAACCTAGTTTGCAGCAATGATTTGTCATGTACTGAGCTGCATTCTTAAATCCTTGGTTGACTCGTGGGGCTGGGTAGTTTGTGTGGTGCTCCAGTCACCTGCTGATAGATAAATTATTCCTCTGGCAGATAGTCACCTCAGTCCTTCCTGCGGGCGTAGGCATATAATTGGTGGTGTACCCCCGAAATGGGAAGTGTTACATTGACTAACATACTGAGACACTCGGGAGAGTCACTGATGTTTCCTTTCCGGTGGAGCCATGGGATGTGTTTATCAAAAACAGAGTTAATTTGGTCTAGTTCTTCTCGTTCTGGTGGCGAGTTACTTAATAGCACAAAAACGTAGAGCAAGCAGGAACAGGAAGGGCCAGGCAGGCAAGCGCTTGAGCCACGCTGATTAATGCCCCGACTTCGGTGAGCGTGGGAAGTGCTGCACCCAAATAAAGTAACAGATAAGGATTGGACAATTTGCAATGTGTTCCAGCAGGAGACCATTTTGAAAACAAACATAGTAAGAAACACGGATGCTTCAGGATGAACTGATGCAGATGGGAAATGTAATGGTGATGTTAAGTGTAATTGTTTAAGAACTCTGCAAATGTTTCAATAGTGTACATATTAAGCAATACCCACCCCGTGGCTGCAGCTGGCTGTTTCCCGACAGGGCTCCCTGGCAAGGCTAGCTGTTCCCTAAGAAGAAGGAGTTTCGGCACAGGCTGGACTCTGCAGTGAGCACCCCGGGGGGTAGACCCAGAGCGTGCTTGAGTCTTTTTTGTAACAGCAGTTCCAGTTTGCATGTTGGCTGTAATTAATACCCTTGTTGCAACAGTGTTGCAGCGCGGGAAAGGTGGGTTTCAGCCTGAAGCGGCAGGCTCGCCAAGTGGCACTTACCACAGGCTTGCTGTGTGCTGCTCTGGCTCAGTTTCCTGCAGTGGAGGCCCGTGGCTGGGGTGTCAGGCTGACATCTCACCCCTTGAGCAGCAGCGTTCAGTGTGTAGCAATTTCGCAGCCTGCTGTTTTTGCACGCAGCTGCCCAGGGTCGCACAGGCAAGGCGGAAAGCTGTAGAAGTTGGCTGGTCGGCGGCAGTGTGCTGTGATGCTGGAAAGGTCTGAGCAGGCAAGGAACCAGCTTGAAACCCAGATTAATTTTGTAACTGTTGAGGCTGTTGGGAGAGTAACCCTGGGCTTCAGGTGTCTTAGCGCTGATTTGAGACACCGCACAGTGGGGAGGCTCAAAGAGCAGGCTTGCGCTTCAAGGATGCTATTGCAGCCTGAAGCCCCCTTCAGAGGGTAAGGAGGGTCTCGGCGCTGGCTGCTCACGACACCCCTGTCCTTCCCGGCGGGGAGCGGAGGGCTGCACCCCCGCCCCTGGGCCGGGCCCGTCCTCCGCGGAGGTGGTGCCGCCGGCGGTGCTGCGGGCCGGAGGCGGAGGATGCTGCTGCCGATGCTGCCGCTGCTGCCGCCGCCGCTTGGCGCGCC